TTTTTATATTTATTTTTTATATATTTTATTTTTTCCCCTAACCCTCAGAAATTACTACTGACCTCTGCAAAAGCTGACTTTCTTTAAACAACACCTGCTGATAACTGATGGATCTTAACTGGATCATCTGTAGATACCTGCAAACAATGAAAGTATATAATTTCGTCACCTGCAAAAGCGAAACAAATCTCAAGATTCTGTTTCCACGAGTTTTCTGAAAAGTACTTCCACTCCATCTTCAACTGCCTGCTAGAAAAGTTATGATACAAGGCCCAAGCAGATAATCTTTTTAGGGATAGTAGATTCTTTGAAGGAGTTCAAAAGCAGACCGTCGTCAAAGAGGGTCCAAACTTTTCAGAGCCTTTGTCTTTTTAGTTGTACTAAATTAGGAATTAGCTATGTTAGTCTGGGAGAATTTTTTCTTATCTCTTGGAGATCTTGCTTCTCTCTTTCTCCTCTTCAGAATCTTTGAAGTTTCTTTGGGAGATTTCAGCCTGTGATTGATCTCAAAAAGCGTGGCCTTACACCTGCTAGAGGCAGTTGTGAGCTTGCCTCTGGAAACCTGTTGGTGGAACTTGGAAGCATCTTATTTCCAAAGATCAAAGTTAACCTGTACTCAGAAACTGCCCGGAATGGGTAGATGAATACAGGCTAAGTTTTTTGTTTAGGCTTAAACAACAGTTCCTGGAAATGCTGAATCACTGGCTTTCCCAAATTTGTTGCACCTCTATGAATATTAAATAAGTAGAACCCAAATAATTTTCTTCAGCAGAAAAAAAAAAAGAAGAATATGGAGAAACTGGGGAGTACAGTTAAGTGCATTGTGTGGGGCAGCTGATGATCAGTGAGTGATTATGGATGAGTAGTATCAAAAGTTACAAAACTTCACTATTATAAGGTAATCTTCTTGTGAGGGTTTTTTACAACAGTTTAGGATCATTGGATAGGAAATTGGATAGGAAATTAGGAAAATTGGATATTAGGAAAAAATGTTTTACCATGAGAGTTGTAGAACACTGGAACAGGTTGCCCAGAGAGGTGGTGGATGCTCCATCCCTGGAGACGTTCAAGGCCAGGTTGGACGAGGCCCTGAGCAACCTGATCTAGTTGGAGATATCCCTGTTCCTTGCAGGGGGGTTGGACTAGATGACCTTTGAAGGTCCCTTCCAGCCCTAACCATTCTATGATTCTATGATCATGCTGCCTTAAGCGTGACACCATGAAGCCTACATATTTCTGCACATCATTTTTCAGATTATCAACTCTCGGTGCAAATCTCTATCAACACGATTCAGCTGGTGTTACTCAAACACATGGTGACATGGACTAGAATTATATTCCTAGGAATTGGTTTCTCTTCTGGAATATGCTAGTGATGAATATGCTTCGTAGCTTTTCCAAAGAGTAAGATGTATTGGCACAAGTCACTGACAGTGCAAGAAGAGAAAATTAGCAAGGTTCAGAGAGACAGGTGTGGCCACATCCCGTGGAGGACACACGGATGCAGTGTTACTGGGGCTCCTACAGAGTTACAGCTGATGAAAACTGGGAAGTAAATCTAAGTCAGTGGGCTCCCTGCTTCCATCTGGAAGTGATTCACAGCCTATTGTGCAGCATTCCCCAGAGGCTCAGGAGTGACCCACCCCTCCTGGTCCCACAAAGGTGAACCCAAACTCAAGCTCATTCTTATTTCACAAATCTCACTGATTGGGAGCTATGGCCACAGGTGGAAGCAGTGTCCAGCACTCAAAGGGAAATGAGTGGGCACTCATAGGAATAAAAAAATAATAAAATCTAGTGTTTCTTTGTGCTTGTAGGAGAACTTTTTCCCATGTGTTCAGTGTGTCACCAACGTTCTAGGCTGTACACAGAACTGTGAAAATGTCCTCAGCACCTTGCCATGAGCTCTGTCTGTACAAGAAAACATTTTAGCCTATCCCGAAGTAACAGGAAGAGTTAATTCATCACTTTCTACAGCAGTGGGGCACGTTTCTTTTTAAAGTGCTGATTCTTCCCTGTTCCAGAGTGTTGGCTTCTTTTGTGCCAAAGTGGCTACCATTTGCCATTTTGCTCTTCTATCCTTTTAAAGGCGTATCCTTTCAGCTCCAAAATTTTAACACCTTTCCCCATTATCCTGACAGAATGCAAGAGTCATAGGCACATGTACAGCTTTTATCATTTGATTTTTGATTTAAAATGTATTTGGTAATCGTTTGCTGAAAACTTATGGTAGCCATGTGTTCATTCTGAGTGCCAATGCAGTTTGTCCAACATTTAGAAGTCACAGTGCTAGTTTTCCTGAAGACTACATTTTGCAAAACAAACATAAAACCATTTTAAATACGAAATGAACTAATTTTACTGTAATTATCCCTCTGGAAACCAGCCAGAGCATTGCAAGGTAAAGTGTCTTTGCTGTTTAAGGCCTTAACTGTCCTACCTCCAAATTTAGATTTCCTGCAATTTCTGTACAAGTTTGCAATGAAGAATTATAAGAACACGTAGAAGCTTTTTAGCCTACATCACTTCAATGACTGCTTCTTTTACTTGTAAAATGTCTCTCTGGAGATTAACTATTAAAAATATATGAACTGAGCAGATTTTTTTTTTTTTTTAAAGTTATGTTTAACTGTCCTCTCCCTTGCTTCCCTTAGGGAAGATCTTTGTCATTTAAGACCTTCCTCGTCTGGGTTTTAATCAGTATTTACCAAGGTAAGAGAGTCTTAATTTTCCTGAACTGAGAATTTTTTGTCTGCTGTCAGCAATATTGTTTTTCAGCTGCAGGTTGAATTCCCAAAGCTTAATGTTTCATCAGCAGTTATATATGTCTGTTGCTTTTTGTTTATCTCGTAAATCGATATTCCTGTAGTGTGCCAGGTCTATCCAAAACCCAGCGTGGACTGGTATTTTTATTGATGCGTGTCGCCTAAAAAAGGACATGTTTTTAATTAAATGCTAATCCAGAAAAATTTTAATGAGTGCTTATCACATTGCATATATTTACACAGTAGTTTTCCTTTCATGGAACAACAGAAGTACTGTTGAAGAAATCCGAATTATATAATCAGTTAAAAGTAATCACACTTTCAGCAATAACTCATTTATTTGTAGCACTAGACAAAATGAGGTTAATTAACAGTCCATCAGATGTATGGCACTAAAAGGTGTTTCATTTTCTAATAGCTTTATTTCTTTACAGCTTTCCTTTGGTTGTTTTATTTCACATGCACAAAGTTCAGTAAAACATCACTTCTTTTAGAGAGATCAATGTCGTTACCTTATAAAAAAAAAAATTACTAGGCAAGTTTTCCTAATAAGTGATTGGATGTTCAGAGTGCAGTTGTAAAAACTGGTACAACTGTCATTTCTCAGCGTGTTGTTAACTTTGTGTGGCTTTCCCAGGTGGAATTCTGATGTATGGAGCCCTGCTGCTTTTTGAATCTGAATTCGTACACGTCGTTGCCATTTCCTTCACTGCCCTCATCTTGACTGAGCTCTTGATGGTTGCACTGACCATACGGACGTGGCACTGGTTAATGGTGGTGGCTGAATTCCTCAGTCTTGGCTGCTATGTGGCCTCTCTTGCATTTCTAAATGAATACTTTGGTGAGTAATAGTAAAAGGATTTTCGCAAAGAGACGCGCTTTATATTCTTAATATTTATTTTATCTTTTTTTTTTAGTTAAGAATCGGTGATGTTATGCTTTGTGAAATCCAGCTTTCTCCGTAAGAAATGTGACTGAATTGAAATTAGGCTTAATTCACGTTGGGTTAAAATATCCTCTTATCCTTTTCTCCTAGGGTTTGATAATCTTTATTCCTGTTAGGATGCTGTATCTAGATGATAAACTTCACTCAAATCACGCGTGCTTTTCCCATCCTTGTTCTGATCTTGACAGTCCAAACTGCACACCTGAAATTGGCTTTGAGATTTGCACTACTGAAACGGATACGATTTTAAAAAATCAGGATCTTTCACTGAGTTGGTGAATTATTTTGTAGGCCAAGTGGACCTCATTAGATCTAACCACAAGCTTAAAAGAGCTGAAGTATTGCTACAGAGTGAGGCAGAAGGCTGTTAGGATAGGTACTTTATGTAAGAATCATTGCTTCATAATTTTATTAAGCTTGCTTTGCTTTAAATTGCAGTATGCCATACTGTATCGTCGGGTTCCGATTGTTCATAGTTCACAAGACGAAAGAACACATTTTAACTGCAAATCTCAGCTGTCGAGGATCTGAGCATCGAAATAAGAGATATTTCTTTTTATATCAAATTATCCTTCGGTAAAAACAACTGTCTCAGTGTGATTTTACACATGTGACTTTTGCAGAAGTATATAGAACAATTTCGACTATACCTCGCAAGGAGTAGAATCCAGCTCCTTCTGTCCCTGTTTTCCAGGAGCTGATGAGTAAGGAGTTGCCTTTCTTCAGTTGTCACTTCCCAAAGCAGAATTAAATGTTACACAGTAGTTTCTAGGAGTCTCATAGTTCTGCTTTCACTCTCTCATATCCCAGGTGTTCAACACTAGGATAGCATGTTTACATTATATAATTATTTTTTTTAATCAGTAAATGCTTCACTGCCTGTCCCAGGTGTTCTGTTACTTCCCAGATTTCTCAGGAGTCAAATTTTGATGAAGAAACGACCCTGCTGGGCTTGGTACTTGTACTGTACCTTATTTCAGGTTTGCCAGAGGCCCTTTTTCTTTTCTCTGACACTGATGCACAGGCTCTTTAATAGAGATTATTGGGTTGATTCCTGAATCTCCACGGCCAGATTACAAATGAAAGGAACAAGAAAGAACAGATACAGGTCCTGGCTCTTTAGTCCAAACTTTCAGCAACTTCATAAAGCTTCACCTTTGTAAGTCTGAGTATTGGTGACAGACAGTCCTTCCATCCTTTGTAGGTGTTGCTCAGTGAGGAACACCTTTAGATGGTGCTCACAGAAGGGTAAAAGCTTCAGGGACTTTGTTTCTCACAAACCTTTCTGTAAAGGGGAGTGCTTTACTGTCCCTGGGTGTTTGCTGGACAAGTCTAAGCAGCTGAGTGAGTGAATGGTTGCATGGCTTCTTGCAGCCTGGGGACTTAACTTCTGTGGTTTTCATCGTTAAGGGCGCCGAAAAGGCTGCAATTTCATGAGCTTTCGTAAAGATGCTTTTTACTGTGTGTTATTAATCAGCTAATCTGAGAAAACGCATTTCAGTTAGTCTCACTTCTGCTTAATGCTTTACTCTTAGTTAACTATCTGTCACATTATAACTGGGGGAAGGGAGCTTTTTTGTTTTGTGTGCGTGTAATGTAGTCTAAACCTAAGTTATGGTTTACTGTTCAAGGTATAGAATAACTTCCATGCATCAGGGAAAACAATCCAGTTCCATAGTGCTTGACTTCAGTGGCAAATAAACCATTTCTTTCAATGATGTTGCTTACAAGCATCATCTCCTCCCTAAGAAATTGTATCATAAGTATGACAAGGCACTCAAATGAAAAAGACAAAAATATTTGATACTGCTCTGCAGCTGACTCATGGCAGTAAAATCAGTTTTTAGGTAATTAATTGCACCCACTGGCCTTATTAGGTGTGTCTCTGTGCTGTGTCATGTAGGCTTTTAGTGTGCCTAAGCAGGCTGAGGCTAAAACTGTGTAATGATTTTATACATTGAAATCTAATATGCAAAGTATTTTTAATGAGGAAAGTTGGAGCAGTAAAGCATTTCTTCACTGCGTTTGCTGAAGTGAACTTTATGCACATTAAACCAGTTCTGATCAAGTTGTTTAGACAGTAAATTACACCTTGAAGTCAAATGTAAGAAAACTGCCTACCAACTTACAGCCTTAAAAGATGACTGATTGTAAAATCTCAATATTTTCAAAATGGTTTGGTTTAATTGCTGTTGAAAATATCCTGATTGTCATGTGAAAGGTAGTAATATTCCAGTTAATGCTACTAACATCTTTTTCGTTTCCTTTTTGTGTGTCTAACCTGTTTGGGTTTTTTCTCATGCAACTTCCATATTTTCTGCAAATCTATCCTTTCATTTTCCTTCTCCCTCTTTGTGAAACAGGTATAGGCAGAGTGTCTTTTGGAGCTTTCTTAGGTAGGTGAAGTTAACTTTTATTGAGTTTGTTTAAGTCTTTAAGAATTCATTGAAGAGGAGTAAATGATGTAATATGCACATTTGTAAATAATGGGGGGGGGGGGGGGGGGGAAAAAAAAATTCTTCAGGTTACCTGAGTTCTGGGGTCTTTCCATGATAATTAAGTTGCAAACATGGTCAAAAAATTTGATTAGCAAGTGTAGGGTGTCACCATTCTTGATAATGCTTGTCACAAAGAGTAGCTTTTCACTGCAGCTTGTGGCAGTATCACCACATTGTTCTCCCTTTAAATCTTTGGGCTCTAATTTAATCTCTAAGGTTTTTAAGTCATTCAGTCTAGTCGTTGTGGCTGTTTCAGAGAAAAATAATCTGAATATGGAATAAAGGAACCAAAATGATAGCACCATTTCTGGTTGAGAACTTCTGTTATAGTGGGTCAAAATCCTTACTGGGAGAAAAATAAGCTGCTTTAACTTTTTATTATGAGAAAGTGTTGCTTTTAAACTGAGATTCTGTTTCCCCTAAAATTATTTTGTACTGCAAAACAGTGTAAAGACCATAAAGGAACTTTGGAGTTCCTGTCTACAGAAAATAATTGGCAAAAACAAAATGTTGAGATTAACTGTCTCTTTCTGTTGTTTTGTTAGTTTTGTTGCCTTTTTTTTTTTCTTAGATTTTGCATGGTCTTGGACAATAGCACTAGCAATTAAGAGAGTTTGATTGACTTTACACTGTGGAAGTTCCAGTTTCCATGTTACCAGCTCCCATTCTTACTTTCCCTTTTTGTTTCTGCAGATGTTGCCTTTATCACAACTGTGACCTTCCTGTGGAAAGTGTCAGCAATCACTGTTGTAAGCTGTCTTCCACTTTACATTCTCAAGTACTTGAAGCGCAAATTTTCTCCTCCAAGTTACTCCAAGCTTACCTCGTAAAAGTAATTCTATTCCTATGGGTTTTCACTCACACCGGTCTGCAAACTGCACATTCACTGTGCTTTAGTGTCTGTGGATTTATGTTGGACTAAAGAAATCTAAAAAAAAAAAAAAAATAATTAAAAATCAAAAGTGGTAAGAGTGAATAGAGCACAAAAAGAGGAGAAAACATCTGACTGGTACAATAACACAGAAGTACACTAACAAGACTATCAGAGATAAACCAGATTTCCTTCATATTGATTTTTTTTTTTCTACTTTCAGTTGCTATGATTATAAAATAAAGCAATTACCTTGATTTGACAATGCTTCTGAATGGTTTCATTGCTACTGTAAAGGATTTTTTCCTACTGTACCAATCTGCTGCAAGTTGAATTGAAAGTTTCATTATTTATTACATAACTTCCCTTCTTTAATTATTACATCACTGCCTAATTCAAGCCCTTTCCTTTAATGTTTATATATGGAAAAGTTCATTTGTCCATACTTACTATAACAAACCTAATAATTGTAAATGCCCGTGTCTGTAGTAGCAGCTAACTATTATTCCTCATCAGGCATTGAGTAATATGCACTACTTGAATTATGTACAGATGTCTGCATAGCACAGTATTCTTTTAGGAGCTGTTGTCCTATTCTGTACTCTCCATTTCTGGCACCAGTGAATATGACAGGTCTGTGGTGTTGACAGCAGTTCTTTAAATGCACATTACAGCCAAGTTGCACAAAAGCTGCTTAAAAAACTCAAATGATGAATTCTGTACATAATTCCACTGCACCTCTTGATCTGTACAGATAGCAAAGACATGGCTGCTCAGTAAATATGTTTTAAAATTCTTACTCATTTTGTATTTGTAAAACTGCAAATAGTGTCCAAGTACATTTCTATATATGAGAAGTCCAGTAAACCTTGTATTAGCTGAATATGTTTAAATTGCCTTGTAATCTGTTTACTTAGGTTACTCAGGTAAAAAAAAGACCAACACGAGAACATTATGGTAGGAAAATCTCTCATCTTCCAAGTTGTACATGTTATGTTTTTATAACTTATTTTGGGTGCAAACTTGTTTTTTAAAAAAAAAAATAATCAGAATGTTTTTGGTTGTTGTAAACTGTCAGAGTTGAGTACCTCGCTTGAGTTACGACACTTCACAGCAGCTGAAGATCCGTTTCAGGAACTCGTGTACCCTGTTATAATCCAAATCTTGCATCCCGCGCTGAAAAGCGGGATAAATTATTTTAGTTTTCCGTCGTGATATGACTTTGCTTTCTCAAGAAGTACGTTCAGCGAATTTGGCATGGTCCATCAGTCAGGGGAAAGGAACGGCATAATTATCCATGCTTTATTTATTAAATCTTTACGTGTGTGTTTTTAAAAAACCCTTAACATGGATGTCATTTTTATGTTTGACTGGATGCCTTTACAACATAATTCCTTGTTTAGTCCCTTAAAACTTTGCCTTTATGCCATTATTCTGTTGGATGAGAAAGATTTAAGTGCTAAGTATAACTGCTTCCTGGGAGAGCAGAGGAATCTGCTGCAGAGCTATTTGGACTCCGCTCCACTCCGTTAATTTTTTTTCTCAGAAGTTTTTCTTACTAGTTATTCATCTGCTTTTTTTTTTTCTCTTATTTTTATTTTCATTCCACATTATAAAAGCAATAAAGCCTAATTTCTACCAAATATTACTAATGGTATATGTATTAAGTGAACTACTGAAGTAGCGTTGCTTTTGATGACACAACACTGCAGACGAGTTTGCACTGTCCCTCTGTAGAACCTCCACGAGATGTCAGTGTTTTTGCATACCAGCAGAAACCTCTCCTCATTTCCGATGGTTTTGGCAGGATGCTCTTGGTTTGCATTTTTAGTCGAGTCCTGTGATATTTTTTTTGTTGCTGGTTTGCTTTAATTTTCTGGTTTTCCCTAACAAGTGGTAATTACTTTGACTCAAATAAGAAAAGTCACCAGTGTGCAGTTGTTCTGAAACATTGATGCTGTTTTCTTCAGACCTTTTTGTCTCACACGTTGTGAGCTCACAGCTGTGTGCTTAAGATTCAGTAGATAAGCAGAAGCTTAGAGTTGATCGTCCTTCGTCTGTACATCACCTCCTTGATGGACATTAGGCAGAAAATGAGAAGAAAATCTGAAGTTAAACTAGCAGTATGGAAGTGATCCCGTAACGCAGCTGTAGGAGATAAAATCGTATCCATGTGTACAGAATTTATAGTCCACGTGTGTTAATCCTCAGCATTAAGACCGTGAGGTTAGAGTGCTAACAAAAGTATAGATCCTACACAGAGGTGTAAGCCTGTCCAAAGTGGAGTCAGTTCCCTAGAGTGTTTCCAATGTGCAGCAGAGGTGTAGTTATCTTTTAGCTAGCACTTTATTCTGAAGACCATGGAAGTCTGATTCAGGTCCCTCACCTTGCGCTTGAGGTTTAGCCACTGCAGAACTCCGTATACCAGGGAAGTCTGCTTCTGTGCAGCGTGTCACTCGGCCCCAGCCCTGCCAAGGGGCAGTGCCAGCGAATCTCAGCGCTTTACGGGCAACAGCATCCAGTCTAAGTGTGGTAGTGTGGCATCTTTCAACAGAAGGCTTTAACGTGTTGTTGGACCTCAGTAGTAAGCTCAGTGCCATCGCTATCTCTGGCTCTTAAAACAGACTAGAATGGTAACGTGCCTGGTGTGCAGATGAATAAAGAACTTCTTCCCAGTAAGGGGAACAGAACACTGGAACAGGCTGCCCAGAGAGGTTGTGGAGTCTCCTTCTCTGGAGATGTTCCAAACCCACCTGGACGCGTTCTTGTGTGATCTGATCTAGGTGGTCCTGCTCCGGCAGGGGGATTGGACTAGATGATCCTTTGAGGTCCCTTCCAATCCCCAAAATTCTGTCATTCTGTGATTCTCATTCCGCTGCCATTTCACATCAGTATATGTCAGGAATAAGTCTGGAGCACCAGATCAGCTTACGCAAACACGGATTTAGACTTCGGATCTGCAAGTTACACCCAGAAGGAGCTTAGTTTTATTTGGTATTAAATAAGTGTATGCTTTCGTGAACTGCCATGTCAGAGATGTATTTCTGAAATGGTAATCGTGTCTTTTTAAAAACATACTTGGAAAACGATTTCAGAATTGGGATAGGATGGAAGAACAAGACGTGAACAGGAAATACATCTTTGCCATCATAACATATGTAACCATACTGACCTCTTTGGACCACCTTTAATAAGCACATGAGCTAAACATCTGCTAGATTTCTGATGTAGTTTGGTAGAGGAGCACAGGGGAAAGGAGTGCTGGTAATTATCACACTGGTTTCTTCTGCTGCTATTCTAAACTTATGTGTTTGTGTAACTGCTGGAAAACATCTTACTACACAAGGTATTAGTTTGCAAATAGAAGCCGAAATTAAATCCTTGCGTACTTAACGTAGCACTCTCCGTGAACGCAAGTGTTTACAACAGTGTTTTGATGTTCAAATGGAGCTTGCTGACACATACCATCAGAATTCAACTCTGTGATATCTCCTGTTTTCTTCCTAGAATTTCTGAGTGGTTGTCCAAAGACCTGCCGTGGCTTTTGTACGTATATAGAAAGCGTGTTTTATCTTGATGATCAGCATCCTGTGTTATGAATGTCCTCCTACCTTGTGTCCACAGGAGAGCGTGAGCCCAAACGTTCTTTGGTCTCCTTTTAAAACACGTCTGCAAGAGGGAACTCTGCAGTTGGGAACCTTTTCAGACTGGACACCAGTTCTGCAGATATTTAAGCAAGAATTTTCATATTCATGCATGTAGTTAAACAGCTGTTAGTCATGGAGGTCAACTTCTGTAGACAAAGAGGAGATGATTTCAGATTACTTGGAGGAAGAACCAGCCTCAGATCTTCTGCTGGTGAGCTAGGCAGTGCGTTCCTGGGATGTTCCTCCATCCCTAAACTCGTGTGAGGATGAGCCTTGCTCATACAGGGTACGCCGGAGGGTTCTTTCATTGCTGGAGGTTGGGGCTGTTGGTGCCTGAACTGCCTTTGTTTGCGTATTTACCCCATGAATGATGGTGAGTCAGGCCTGGGGAAGGGCTTACTGTTTAAAGGGCAGTATAGACTTCCATAGAGGCTTTGGAGATGCACTGTTGGCAGAGATACCCTGACTTGACCTCCTCTTCTACTTTTGCAGAGCTGGCTTTTATATTGGTGAGATAACTTGAAAGAGGCTTCCATCTGTTTCATGCCTGCATCCCTTCACTTGTCCCAAAGTATTAACGTGGTTCCCGTGCAGGGCAAAGGAATTTAGTGTGGAGTATGAGCAAAGGGACAGTAGAGTCTGGGCAGACAGCGCTCCATAAAAAGTGATAGTCACAGGAGGAGAGGTGGCTGTTCTGCTTTCACTGCTGATGCAGAAGCTATTCGTGCAGGTCTTGCTTACTCTGACATCCATTTGAATTTTAGCTTCCATCAAGTTTCTCCTTATTTTTGCTGGCTAGAAAGGAAAAAAAATGGGCCAGCAGCCTCTTAAAACACTTCATTTAATAACCTTTATGTATCTAGGCTGTTGTTATTATAACTCAGTTGAAACCTGAAGGCAATCAAAAAAGCCCTTTGATATGTTAGCCCCCCGTAGGGAGGAAAATCAGTAGGAGTGAACAAAGACAACACGGATCGCACATTATATGTCAGCAAACAGGAGGCGCAGCGTCTTTAACGCCGTGTTAAAAAGCGTAGGAATTCCTTTTGTAAACAAAACACACTTCAAGCCAGATACTTCCCAACGAGTATGAACTACCCAACAGATGCCCTCAGCAGGGTTCACAGCTCTTACTGTGAATGGGAGTTTGCTCAGCCAATTGCCAACAAAATCCTTCTGAGACAGGGAACTGCACCGAAGGACCTGTTTTCGCTGCTTCATCGACCAAAACCATAGTTGGGATCAAAATGTTCTACAGCGGAGGTGGTGGAAACCGGATGCCTTGAACAGAATAACGAGAGCGCGCTCCATAGTTGAGTTGACAAATTCCACTTTATTCCCCCATTCCTGACCAGCTTTTAGCGAAACAGCAGCCAAGATTTCTCCTTGCTGTAGTCTCCTCCTGTCCTCCAGCACGCCTTCAGCTTCAGATCGTAATTAACAGCAGTAAACCTCTAAATTGCTCAAAAAAAAGAGCAGGTTTGAGGAATACTTGACCTTTTTGCATTACTGAGCTATAAGATCATTACCTGCCCTAAGAAGAGGAGATCCTATTTTCTATAACCATCATGCATGGTAAGTATTTATGGCCCTGCCTTTATTCCTCTAGCAGTAAACCATGTTTTATTTCCTCTTCTCTTGACAAAAGTAGCAAGAATAAAAAGGGCTTTGGCTATAATGTTCATGTAGCTTTAAGCAAGCTGTACAAAAAATAGGTTATTGTTATTCTTATTTGTAGAACTGCTTTCTGTTGTTTCATAGAATCGTAGAATCATAGAATCA